TCAGAGGCTAATACAAGAGCCCCATTCCTCTCCCGGAGAGGGGCAGGCACTTCCCTCAGGTCACTCTCAGTACCAGAGTCAAAGTAGTTTTCTCCTTCCCAGCGCAGCCCGTCCCTTTGCCCAGCACCTCCTGCAGGGCCTGTTTCTGACATCTGTGGCTCTAGAACAGCAGGCCCAGGGAGAACTACAAGAGACAGGGACTACTAGTTCATGAGTCTGTAGTACAGTAATGTCAGCTGCCGTGACAGCATGAGCTCTCCAGCAATGGTGGAGGCCAAATTAAAGCTAGTAAGAGCTTGCTGCGGATGCTGCAAAGAGGATGGAGAAGATGGGGGAAATTAGAGGGCTCTTTACAGGTCTAGGACTTCATTTGTGTGTCTAACAGATGTGTGGCTGGTCAGCAAGTGGGTGTGGGCCAAACAATGTGAGGTGCTGATTTTTACTCTCATACCCACTCCAGGAGGCCTACTTCAAGAAGCACAAGTTCAACACGGTTCCAGGTGTCCAGCTCAGGAATGTGGACAGGTTGGGGCTGGCAGCAGGGCAAGGGGTGGATATCTAGGAGATTTGGAGGCCAATCCCTGAAAGTCCCTTCCAATCCCGGGCCTGTGTGTTTACTCCAGCCCTGCTGCTACAGATTCCCATGTGACCCCTTGCCCTGCTCAGTGCTACCCATGGGACCTGAGGGCCTGCCCACTCCCCTGACCCATTTCTCCCTCCTCTTCAGTCTGAAAAAAGAAGCTTATGAAGTGGAAGTTCACAGGCTGCTCAGGTATGGCCTAAGACAATTGGGGTATAGCAGGGAGCAAAGAGTCAAATACTGGGGATCTTGGCCCCATAATTTACAGGGTTCTGTACAAAATGAAAATCAGGGACCTTATCTCAAACATTATTAAGAACTTCAGGGTGGCAACAGCAGAGCATTCAACCAAGTACAGGGTCCTGTGGGACACATCCATGAAGTGGGCCCTATCTTGGCCATATTCTCCCTCCCTCCACTGCAGTGAGGCTGAGGTTCTGGACCACAGCAAGAACCCTTGTGAAGACTCTTTCCTGCCAGACACAGAGGGCCACACCTACGTGGCCTTTATTCGAATGGAGAAAGATGATGACTTCACCACCTGGACCCAGCTGGCCAAGGTGCTCCAATACCATGCCCACCCTGGAGAACCCCTGCCCCTCACACATGTACTGCCCCAAGATCCAGGGAGCCTTTGCTCTGGAATCTTCAACCTCAGAACCTCCTCTTTATACTCCTAGAACCCCTCTTCCAACCTCCTTGTCCAAATTCATATTCCAAAAGATGCTATCTCTTGCAAATTGAGGTGGTTTCTGAGGAGGGCTGGGGGCTAAGCCAAAGCGTCTTCAGTGACCCCTCCCCACAGCTCTCTGACCCGTGTCTCTGTCCCCATCCCACCCTCACCAGTGCCTCCATATCTGGGACCTGGATGTGCGTGGCAACCACCGGGGCCTATGGAGATTGTTTCGGAAGAAGAACCACTTCCTGGTGGTGGGGGTCCCGGCTTCCCCCTACTCGTGAGTGACCCTTTTCTGCCCTGGGAAACGGGAGGCCTAGTGAGATCCAGGGACATAGCTAATGGCTTCTTCCCTATACATCCTTGTATTATTTTCCCAGAGTGAAGAAGCCACCCTCAGTCACCCCAATTTTCCTGGAGCCACCCCCAAAAGAGGAGGGAGCCCCAGGAGCCGCAGAACAGACATGAGACCTCCTCCAGGACCCTGTGGGGCTGGGTACTGTGTACCCCCAGGCGGGCTAGCCCTTCCCTCCATCCTGTAGGATTTTGTAGATGCTGGTAGGGGCTGGGGCTACCTTGTTTTTAACATGAGACTTAATTACTAACTCCGAGGGGAGGGTTCCCCTGCTCCAACACCCTGTTCCTGAGTTAAAGGTCTATTTATTTACTTCCTTGTTGGAGAAGGGCAGGAGAGTACCTGGGAATCATTGCGATCCCTAGCAGCTCATCCTGCCCTTTGAATACCCTCACTTTCCAGGCCTGGCTCAGAATCTAACCTATTTATTGACTGTCCTGAGGGCCTTGAAAACAGGCCGAACCTGGAGGGCCTGGATTTCTTTTTGGGCTGGAATGCTGCCCTGAGGGTGGGGCTGGCTCTTACTCAGGAAACTGCTGTGCCCAACCCATGGACAGGCCCAACTGGGGCCCACATGCTGACACAGACTCACTCAGACACCCTTAGACACTGGACCAGGCCTCCTCTCAGCATCCTCTTTGTCCAGCTTTCCAAAGCTGGATAAGTTGATCATTGATTAAAAAAGGAGAAGCCCTCTGGGGATGTGTCTTGTGATTGTGATTTTGTGGGTCGGGGGGTGCTGGAGGGAAGTGGTGGAGAGAATACTTGTGTTGGATGGTGAGTTTTCCTTACTGTCCTCCACAGAGTTTATCTTCCATTTGGGGCCATTTGGCCACCAGGGGATGCCAAACTCCAAGGTTTTTCCCCAACTCTACCCTAGGACAGCCTGACTTTAGCCCCGTCCTACTTGAGGCTTGGAGCAGCCACCCCACCTCTTCCCCACCGTTTAACCACCAGCCTGGTTCCTGCTTATCTTGCCTGGGCCGGGCACCTGCCCCAGAGATGGAGCAGGAGAGAACAAAAAGGGATACTTCGGAGTTGGAAGAGGAAATGGGAGAGCAGGTGTGCATAGTGGGGGTGGGAAGGAAGTGGATGGGACAGGACTGGGCAGGCATCATTGAAGAGACGGGCTAGGGTGCAGATGGAGATGTAGGAGCAAGGGTGTCTATGACCCTTAGAGCACTTTGCCATTCAGAATTCTCTGTCCGGGCATTTTTGTGAAGAAATGGGTCATGGTCTTCATCACATTCTCACATAGCCAGTAACCCAAAGAGGTTAGGAAGATCGAAGTTAGTCATAGAGGCACCAGAAAATGGATGGGATTGTCCAGAGGCAGTGAATGAGAAGGCCTACAGCAGGGAAAAGGACATTTAAGGGGTCTGTGAAGGGCCTAATGTCAGGAGGGTGAGTGTAGACCACCTCTTCAGAAAGGGTCTGCCTGCCTCTGTACAAGTACAGTACTCCGGCTGGAACTCCAGCCCTCCTGCCTGCTCTCTGCCCTGCCTCTTTCACAGGTGCCTGGAGTCCAGCTCGGCGACAGCATGGGTGGTGTGTGGCTTGGACATATCTCGCCACCCTGACGCCTTCGTTGTTTGCTGGAGCTGGAGATAGTGCTTGAGGTGGCACAGCAGCCAGGTTGAGCAGCAATTAGCCCATGATGAGGTGGAGGCCCGCCCTGGGCAAACAAATCCCGTGCAGCCTCCACACAGGCACCTGGTGGAGGGGAAGTGTGTGAGAGGCACAGTATGGTGGTGAAGGGGTGAGGCACGCTAGCTCCTCTCCCTGTCCCGCACCCTGGCAGGCTCCTGGTCTGCCCCTCACAGACCAGCTCTAAGGCACTCTTTGGTTCTGGTCAGGTCCGTCCTCCTTTCTGGGCTCAGCAAGAGGGTGGTGGTTCTGGGCTGTCCTGGAAAAGCTCAGGAAGAGAGTTACAGGGTTCAAAGGGAAGCAAGGAGGGGGACTGGTTTGTCAGGCTGGGCTTTTCTTGGTAGCAGACACTGTACCCTCTCACCAGAGCCTCCCTCAGGCCTCTCACTCCTGGCTCAACAGTGATCAGGTCTGTATCAGAGACATTCTGGCCAGCTGCCCCTTCAAGTGGAACTAGTATCATATCAGCCAGGACTACACCAGGTGCTGGAGTTCTGGACCCAAATCTAGGCTGAGCTCCTCATGGAAGCCTGTGGGACTGGGGCAAGTCGCTTGGCCTTTCCTAGCCTCAGTTTCCTACCTGGAGCATAGGGATGGTTAGGGCTAAAGAAGAGATGAGATCTAGGCCTGATGAGGTGGTTCACGCCTGTAATCCCAGCACTTTGGGAGGCCGAGGCAGGTGGATCACCTGAGGTCAGGAGTTCGAGACCAGCCTGGCCAACATGGTGAAACCCCGTCTCTACTAAAATTAAAAAAAATTAGGCATGGTGGCGGGTGCCTGTAATCCCAGCTATTCAGGAGGCTGAGGCAGGAGAACTGCTTGAACCCGGAGGCGGAGGCTGCAGTGAGCCGAGATCACACCATTGTACTCCAGCCTGGGCAACAAGAGTGAAACTCTGTCAAAAAAAAAAAAAAAAGAAGAAGAAGAAGAAGAAGTCTGAAGAACACCAGGTATGCCAATAGCAAATGAAACATGAAGTTCTTGCTGAGATCCCAGAAGCAGGGACAGATGTGGGGTTTTGCCTGAGTGGGAAAGGTAGGCAGCGTGGACCCTAGGAAGGGGGCTCCTGAAGGGCTTCCCAGCACCTAAGGAGTGACCCTTTCCCATTGACCTGGTAAGAATTCGGCACAAGCTTGTTATTTTCATAGCTTTCCAGTCCAGTGCCCCCACCCAGGAGGGGGTAGTTTCAGTCCAAAGTTCTCCCCATTATAAGGAGGCAGACTGGCCTAACCCAACTCTACTTCTTCACGCCCTCTCAGCCATTCCTCTTGGGTTCCCTCCCAGGCCTGGAACCCAAATGAAGGGGAGAAATAACTACTTCTGACCCCCAACCCCACCCTACTTCCCTCCTTTGCAGGGACTTCTGAGTTGGCAGCTCCACAGGAATCTCAGACCAGTTTAGGCCCCTCTCCCCAAGGATACATGAAGAGTTCAACTGGCAACATTGTAACTGGTTTATGCATTTTGAAGTGCTTTCTACATATCTGCCCAGAGGCTCTGCTGATTTCACTTATGCCCAGGCTATAAAATGCTTTCCTCTCATCCCCCAGTAGAGCACTGGGATCACCACTAGGCCTAGGGGCGTTTCAAGGGTTTAATAGACTGGGGGAATGGGCAACAGAACTGGCTACCTTAGAGGCTCTGGAATGCCCCCC